ATGCACTTATCGCGTACACGTGAGCAAAACGTTACTATTATTATATGCATACATAGGTGAAATATATATGTATATATGTACATATGTATATATATTATACATATGTCTATTCATACTCTATACACATGTACATATTATGCAATCGATTTATCAACGGAAAATTACTAATCTAAAATAAATATCAGCGCTATGCATTTTCAAGTATGAATTTATTACAAACTTGCACTTTTCCAATACACATGCATTCAATATTATTTATTTATTCTGCTCGGCCAAATAAATATTTCCTATCTCTCTATATTTACTATTTCGCAGTGGATTTCTACATTCTTCGAGCATAGCTCTGGCATTGATAAGCTTTCGAAATAAATATATTGCGTTGTGATGGGTGAAACGTCATTTGAAGGTAGAAACTTACTGAGGGTCAATTCGGAAAAGTTACTTAATAAATAAGTTAATATTGACGTTTTCGAAAGCCATTGATTTGTAGGGTAAATGAGGCAGATATTATTTAATTGACGTGTTCAACAATCTCTTAAATTTTAGTCAATGGGCTGTTATCGGTTGCACCTAAGCAAGAACTTGATTTGATCGTTGAGTTTGTATGGTAGCTATATGCTATAATATACCAATATCGGCGGTGAGGGTACAATATATAATATAACTTTATAGGGACTCCGACGTTTGCTCTGGTATTACAAACTTTTAGGCAAAGTGAAAACACTCTGTTGAGGGGATAAAAATATGGTATACCTTGAATGCAAATGTAATGTTTCTAATCGAAAATCAATTGAAATCGGTAACCGTTTTAACAATTTTGTATGTAGTGTAATAGTCAATTAAAAATCCATCATTTTGCTAATCAAGTGCAATAAATCCATTATTGGTTATAAAGATAAATTTTGTCAAAATCCACAGTAGATTGTAAGAAGAGTGCCATTACACATTCAATTGGCATAGTTTTTTCTTTATCACCAAGAAATTTCATAATTTTTAACAGCAATAAAAATGGTAACTTTTTTATAAAAAAATTCTTTTCATTTTTTCTTTTTTTAA